AGACTCCTTAAATAGGTAATATAGAAAAGTTACACGTATAGCCAGTTGTACACTCGTCTAATAGTTCATTATAGATATGTCTATATATAAAACATGTACACGATATAAGTATTAATAAAAAGCTTGGACCAAAGAGGTCATCTTAATACTGAAAAAAAAAAAAAAACAATAACTGAGTAGAATGTTGATTAATTATATGTTTTTTATAACTTTTAATCAGAAGTTGATAGCAATAGAAACATATTGGGCCACAACTTGCAATTACCAGTTAAGCATTAAACAGCTTGTTGTAAACATCTATTTCTACTTTCAACAGTTTTAGAGGTTACTGCATCAGTTGGTATTTTGATTTACATTCACAAAACTGACTAATTAAAGTAATTACTCCTTATGGATGGGAATCAGGTATTAGGTGATAACAGGTACATAAAATTAAGCAACTGGAAGCTTTTTGTGATGTCAAGTTACTGTGAACATTCTTGCTTTGTTTTTCAATTATAAGACAATTTATTCTTTTTTTTTTTTATACCGATATAAATGTAGGCTATATTGGCAAGATCGATCAAGCCCTACAAGACTGATGAACTTAAATTGAGACTATTTATTACTTTTTAAAAAACTTTTTTGTTGAGTTTAACTTTTTAATAAAAAATAATTGGTTTTAAATTATTTATAGTTTATGTAATTTAATAAATTTATGAAATAGATATGCTGAATCGAAATCAATTAATAAAGAATGTAAAGTGTAAAAAGATAAAATGCAAAAGTTTTAATGATTTATTAATATTTTATTATCGTTATGAATGTTGAAGATGTCTAAAGCGAAGTAAATTTTTATAATATATTTTATTGAATTAACTTTAAGGTTAAGTTAGGTTTTAAATAGTTATATATAACCTTTTCAACATTTTTAATTAACCTACCCGAGGTAGGTTTTGACTGATATTTTTATATTTTTTGAGGTTTTCATTTTTATTTCTTGTTTTGCTTCGTTGGTAAGTCACGTGATTATGGAAATCATCGTTTATTACTTGACTAGTATAGCATTGCGAGCGGCTTCGCCGACAATTATATATATATTTTTTTAGCTTTGCGGGGTTTTTTTGGGGTTATTCTATTATATTCTTTTTTTAATTACGCTGCGACGTAATTGGATTTTGATTATATGTATTGTGCTATGATTTGTAATTAAATCTTTCGATTTTATTTGACAGTGACGTACGAGCTTAATTTTTATATGAAGATTAGATTGCTTATTTTAAGCCTTTTTTGGTTTATTTATAGGGCATGTAATAGTGAATTCTATTATTAGAGGGTTTCAAATGAAATTTAAATTTAAATTATCTATAGAGCGAATGTTAGAATTAGGGACGATGATTTTATGCAATTTGCATAAAACCACAGAAACTGCAAAATATAGTCTGAAATGCATAATTAACAAATTCACCACCTAATGCCGCATAAAAGGTGCTGATACGTATTAAAAAGATATTGCATATGTTACATAAATCAATTTTTCTTTTTGGCATCAAGAAATATTTTTCGTTGAAAATTCTTTAAGATTAGGCCAAAACTCTAGAAATTATATGTTCGGCTGGAATTAATATTTGTAACTCGGGCTGGAAATTACGAATTCAGCCATATTTTGGTTTTATCGCATGCATAATTGACCTTTTATTGCCGCATAAAATTATCGTCCCTGGTTAGAATTTATGTTTATTGAAAGTTTTAAAGTATACCGTGAGAATAAATTTATCTTTAAAAATTTCATTGCATGACGCATTATCAGACAATGTAATTTCGCTGAAATTTGGAGTTGATTTGAAAATATAAGCACTGCTAAAATCCACATATACTCTTTAATTACCAATTCTAACCCTGACCCTAAACACTGACTCCACAGGCCCTTGAACAATTATAACAGAAGGTATATTTGCAGGTTTTCTGCGATTTGATTGGACAAAAAAATCTAGCCAATCAGATTGCTTAATTTTGCAAAATTGTATTCTAACTCTACCATAAAAAAATCAAAGTATAATAAACTTACATGTTAATATAGACGGAGGAAGTCATAAAAAAGGAAAAGACGATACTTTAATTCGATAATTTTCCTTACTAATTCCTAGCATCTTGCTATTAGAAATTACAGTCGTAATTGCAATTGCATTTAACATCTATCATTCATATAAAAATGGAAGGAGTAAAAAACAAAAACACCATCACGCCAAGCTCTAAAAAATATTTAAAGACTCAGCTATCATATGGGTTCTTTGCCTTTGAAAATCAAGTTATGAGAAGTAAATTATGTGACTCATGACTTGATTTTCAAGGAAAAACCCCATATAATTCCAATACTTTAAATTTAATGCGAACAGACATCCTCTTTCTGAAGTTACGTTTTGTTATTTATTTCTATTCTGTTATTTTATGTTAATATTATGTACAAAAACCAGAACTTTTAATGCATTATAATCATCAAAATCATCATCCATTTTCTATGTTCCGGACAATAATATCACGTTATCTAATTGATTACACTTCCTAATCATTTAACGTTTAAATTTTTCAGCGCATATTATCATAATGATATCATGAAACAATATTTGTAATATAATTAATATAATTCTAAAGAACCTATCTTCACATTTTTCCCAATATATCTTCATGTCTCAATCTGATCATTTTACTGCAACATCTAATCCTCAGAACCTCGATCAATTCCACTCAAAACTAAAACTTCAGTCCCTTGAGATCATTAACCAAATTTTCCCTCGTAAAATTTTAGAATTAAATAATTTATTACAATATCAAAAAGATGGTTCTGTAACTAACCTCAAAATTTCTTTGGTTCAAAATGATGATATAAAATCTCGTAAACGACGTAGAGAAGAGATAAATGATCACTCTCAAATTGTTGAAGATGTAAAAGACGCTAAAAGTGTTTTGTGTGATGCTATTCATACAAAAAATAGCGATCGTGTTGATAACAACGATAACACAGAATGCGTGAATAATGGAAATGATTATTATCGTATCAAGGAATTACATAAAATTCTTGAAGACGAAGTTGCTTGTTTCGCTGGATATTGTTGCAAATTGAGAGCTTGGGTTACTCTTAAATATCCAAGGTTTGATTATGCTAGATAATTGTTTATCTCTTAAAAATTGTTCTAATCTTCCTTCTCTGGTGATAGAATTGGTACTGAAGAAAATCCAAAAATTTCTGCTCAAGAAGGTATATATATCCTATTTGCATATTATAAACTTATTTTATCACTTAGTATACTTATGGTTACAATATTCAGATATAACTGCCGAATTATCGCGTGTCGAAGACAGTTCGTTTTTATTCTTAGACAGTATTACAAGATATTACGTAGCTCGTACAAAATTATGCAAGTAAGTTTGCAATCATCATACCATTAGCTTACATATCTACTTATCTTTCCTTCGCTAATGTCTTTTTTTAATGGATCTATTCATGAAGGACATATTACAAGTTTCCAACAATCCAAGACAGTTATCATGCGCTTAACCATCTCGATAAGCAACATTTGATTAGTGTTCTTCATCATCTTGAAGACATGTGCAATATTTATGTTATTATTCATGACATGCTACAAAAAAATATGGTTTATCTAGCTTGATAGACTAATTAACATAGTTGCTTTTACAGATGGATAAAAATTTTAAAAGACATTTTTGATTTAAACTATATAATTGTTCTTAGTTCTAAAGAATAAGTACTAATAAAATGAGACTTAATAAAACAAAATAAAAAATATAGTTAGGCTATTTAAAGTAATAGCTTGGTGAAAAAAACAAAAAAACTAACTTTAATTACTATTAGTCAAAATTTGGATAGTATAACATCAGTAAAAATATATAAAATTATTTACATGTTTTATAGGTATATTTTTTTAATTTACTTATCAAAATAATAGTAAAGATTTCTTCACTATCCATACTCTTTCCTGAAATTTTCATTTGAGACACAACATAATGAAAATATATTCATACACTAATTATATATATACATTTTACAAAAGTTTAATAAAATTCGATTACAAGCAGAATTATACATTAGCACAATGTAGACCTCTGTCCAATTTCGTGACTGGCTGTTCCACTTGGCATTTCTCCGTTTCTTCCAGTAATAAATTCCTCATATCTGCATGAGAATGCAAAACACAATTCGTAAACCTCTATTGATAAACTATAATTATGGCTTTATCATCAAATAAACAGAAATTCATACATACATTGAAGCTAATCTTGCGTATTCTTGTGGCGTTATTGAAGGTCGTGTAATTTTCAATGAACCTTGCATATGCTTGTTTGTAATTATCGCCTATAAATAATAATTATTAACTCATTCTCCACATACAATAAATTTAAATTAATGGAAAATAAATACCGATCGCCTATTCTGTTTTTTGTCATTTCCTTCATCTACAGCTTTTTCAGGTGAAAGTACCTTTTTGATGAGTCCAAGCTATTAAATTTTCAAATGAGTTACTGAGTTCAATTACACAACAATTTTCATGTTTATATTTAATATTTACTCTTTCAGTTAGTTGTGATCTCTCAGCAGCCGTCAACGTAGTACTATCTTTTGAACTCGCGCTGAAACAGACAAATTGCATATCTCTGCCATTAGTGCTCGGCGTTTTCTTTTCTAGGAACTTCTCGGAATCTATAGTTTCATGAATTGCTTCAAGATGAGCATTATATAATAATGCTTGTAAATCCGCTCCCGAATATCCTTGACATTTGTTTGCATAGTAACTTAAATCAACATCATCATTTAAATCCAATTTTCGAGCCAATGCTTTCAAGATCTTTTGAAATATGTATGAGAATAATTAATACTTATTTTAATTGATAAATTAATTCAGATATTCAAGAAATCCTACTACCTCAGTTCTTTCTTGTAAAGTAGGCATGTTGCAAAACAACGACTTATCTAAACGTCCCGGTCTCAATAATGCGGGATCAATGAGATCTGGACGACTTTAAATTTTGAATTTATCGTATTAGTTATAATTACTCTGCCAGCACATCTTCTTTATTATCATCTAATATATTATTTATGTGGTATTTACCTTGTAGCAGCAAGAACATATACCCCGTCAAGACCTTCAGCACCGTCCATTTGAGTTAACATTTGATTAACAACTCTGTCCGTAACGCCTGTGCTATCGTGTCCTCTAATTATTATATATATATGTTAACAAATTTTATTAAAACCATATATATATATGTACGTATATGCAATGTGCTAGTTGACCTTTTAGGTGCGATAGAATCAAATTCATCAAAAAATAAGGCACAGGGTTTGGCAGCTTGCGCTCGCTCAAAGAGATCCCTCACCTATGTTAAGCTCATTCAATTAATAATTACGATAACTAAATTCACAGTATTATACATATAAACAATAGAAACTTTTTTACCGATTTTTCACTAGCACCGATATATTTATTTAATAGTTCAGGACCTTTGACACTAATAAAATTGAGTCCGCACTCCTTTGCAACAGCTGATGCCAATAGTGTCTTGCCACAACCAGGAAATCCATATAGGAGGAGTCTGTTCGTAAATGAATGAATATACTAAAAGAAATATGTATACCATGATAATATAATAAAAGATTTCAATTACCCAGATCGCAGCCTAAGAGGACAATTGGCAAAAATAGACGCATATTTTGTAGGCCATTCCAATGTCTCTAATAATACCTTTCGCGTTTCTTCAAGACCTCCTATATCAGTCCAGCTTACATCTGAAGTGTGTAATTTCACGCCACGAAGTGAAAAGGGAATAAACCCTCTCTGAGCTTCTCGAAAATCATCTTGAACTAATAAGAAATCAGCTTCGTCAATATTGTTTTGTAAATTCCTAACTGCACCCTCATGTATCGTTCGCTCTACGAGTGTTTTAAGATCTGCTGCCAAATAACCTTCACATTCACTTGCCACAGAAAGCAAATCAATATTCGATACGCTTTTATTGGCAAGTTCAGGACCACAAGACATTATCGCCTTAAGAATCTATTAATGTTCATAATACACAATTATTTTTAATAAAGTTTCGTAATGTGATAAACATTGATAATAATTCTATAGTTCATTACCTCACATCTTTCTGTTTTCGTTGGTGGATTCAATTGAGCGATTTCACTAAACAAGTGACTTGTAGTTAGAAACGAATGAATAGAAGATTTTTGTTGTGCTGTCGCCAAAATTGTGATACGATGTCTTTTTAGCATCTTTGATGCAATATGGAAAAAACATTCAGCTAACTGTCGAAACCTAAAAGAATCCACATGCTATAAAATAAATTAAAAAAAGAGTAATTTAATATAAAGCGTTTTAACATAATATTTCAGTGATCGCTACATACTTCAACTTCTGCTGGAATTAACCTATCGAGGTCGTCAAACAAAAGTATACTAGGCGCATGCCAGGCTGCATCATCGAAACAGGTTTGCAGCTTTTCTCTTACAGATGATATACGATCCTCTGACAATTCAGTACATTTAATGACACTGCAATCTGTACAAAATGAGCATATTGTCAAATCTATTCCAAGACTTGCCGAAGTTAGTGATAACTTACATGCTAGAGTATTTAGATCTCGCTCTAAATAAGAAGCTACAGTTTTTGCAATAGAAGTTTTTCCAGATCCATGTCCACCACATAATAATAAACCGCCCATGCCTAATAATAATAATAATAATAATAATAATAATAATTAGACTAAATCTTATAAAAATCAAAATATTGATGTGATGAAATTTCAGTACACCTGGAATATGCAAAACATTCCGCAAATCCGCTTTTCCGAGACAATATCGGAGATATTCTTGTAGCCTTTGAGATAGTTTTTCAACGCCAGCTAGTAGAGGAAGATAACCATTATTGTGTCTAAACGAATACATCAATAAGAATTATTATAGCAAAAATCATTCTTTATGTAATATTTCATTTTTCCATTCACTTACTGTTTTAAAAGCTTATGATCAGGATAAGATATATTGTCACCAATTTCTATTTTTACATTATTATTCAAATGATTTTTTGAAACTATTGCATACATTTCTAAAGTATCGTTTTTTCCGTGACGACCATCATTTTGACTAACTGGCTTTCCGCCAAAGAGAACCACAACATTTATATCATTATTTGCTGATGATAAAGATAGTTTCATCCCATTTGTCAAGACAATGTCCGAAGATGCTGATAATTTCTCAATCCATGCTTAATTATTTAAAATTGCAAACATTATTTATTGTAGCTAGAAGGTACAAACAAGAGCGTTGATTATGTTATTTACCATTAACTGAATTAGTTATAGTAGAAACGACGGACCTATCTACAGGTGTTGAACTAATGAAAGATGAATAAGACATTAGAAAATATGCATTAACAAGTTATTATTAGCACTCACAAACCTGGAATTAGAATGAAGTTTTAAAGATGCAGATTGAAAAGGGTGTGATATACATCGAATTATTATGTGAGTTAATGAAGTAGAATGCGAATATGAAGGCACTAAGCTATATAAAGATAAAACGTTAGTCATGATGCGTCACATATAAATTCTTAAAACGGTAATAATATTTATATTTCACAATTCACCGAATTATGTCAAACTTTTGCACATCCAGGGCATCCATTATACTCTCACACAATATGACATGTCCAGGGACCACCCTGTCCTTCACCAGTACTTTAACATATAATGCTGGTAATGAATGATTTTTGCCATCGTTGTCTGATTTATCTTCAGTTTCCTTGTTTTGATGGGATGGTTGTATTTTGGATACACGCACAATTTTAGGATTTGGGAGTCCGATTCGCGTAAAATCAGTCGGATGAATATATACTATACAGAAATCATTGGCGCTTGGTTGCAGCAAATCAGATGAAAGAAACGCCTGAGGCAAAACACGCAAACAATATACACGAGTATTAAAAATGTTGTTTGATGTGATATCTTTAGATTCTGCACTATTTTTTGGTTTTCTTGACTTAGGCGCCACAACAATTTCTGTACTCTCGCTTAATTTAGCACAAGGGCCCTTTGAGTTAATATTTACTAAATAATGAAAGATTTTCATTAAAACGTCATTATTGTGCTTTTCGTAATGTAGAAATATCTTTATAGACAACTAACCGATTTTTATCCGTGTAACATTAGAATTGACCCAAAGCACTATAACCTCATTGGGATATACAACGCGTTGTTGTCTAATAAAAGAGTCTTCTAAATATCTACTATTACGTTCCTTTTAGGATATATTTGATTAAAAAGACGTATGAGAAGCTGTTAACGACGGATACACAACAGAAACAAAACGTTACTATGATTTCCCAATCATCAGAACTAATCGGTTCAACTTCTACGGAATTGGTCTCTGGCAATATATCTTCGAAACTTTTAATGTAAATCTATATAATTATATCTAAAAATATTAGATCATAGAAATGATAAGGTTAAAGTATAAATTAGGCTTCACCTTTTGACCATGGTGTAAACCAATAGCCTCGCCAAATTGTGGGTCTATTTCGATAGTATCGGAATGATCAGCCTTTGAAGGAAGCCCAGACCATCCAACATATGCTTTGCCTTGTACAGCTTTAGCATCATGCCAAGATAATTCTAGAATAACATTTTGTGGCAACTGTCAAAATGTAAATCTAAAGACGTGTCCCCCAGAAATAATAATAGAAATCCAGGCATTTATATGAGTTGAGTACCTGATTTTGTTCAGAAAGATATTGTGTCCATTTAAATGGAAGATTCACGAAACAATTTGATGAAGGGACGAAAGAGACAATAGCATGAAGCTGAGACATTTTGACCAAAAGATAACGATAATAGTGGTCGAATTCTTAGCTGAGTAAATTCGATTTCATTGGTTGATTAGAATAATTTTGATTAGACATTCGATTTTTTCACGTGTGATATTTGCAATTTATGACAAATATTTTTGTTCCCTGGCACCTAGAAAATGTGTACTAGAGACTCCAGATTATGCGATTTGAAACGCATTTTGGTGCGATGTGACAATTTCAGACTGTGCGATATTTATTCGAGGAACCATGTGCATACATATACAGTATTTATTGTTATTGATGTGATAATTATGAATTTAGCCTATAAGAATTTAACGAAAAAATACTACAGTAAAAAATTATTTATTGATTATTCATTGATAGCTCTATTGAAATAAAGTAAATTTAACATAGATAAAGAATTTTCCAAAAGGTTATGTCTTTTATCGCTTAGAATATTTTTATAATTACTAAAACTTCTCTCCACATCGACACCAGAAACAGGTAACCATATGTAAAATAAAGCGATTTTTGAAAGAGAAGGCAAATTATTAGACTTCTCTTTCCAATATTTATCCAAGTTTAAATTTTCACCTAATTCTTCGTCTAGTTTACAATAAATGTTCCATTCATTTAACAAATCGTCAGTTAAAAGCTTAAAATCCTCTATTACCGTATAATGGTCAATATTTTGTCTTGATGCTGAGTAACGAACAAATTTAGGATCAAAGCATTGTACGGTTTTAAAAAGTAATAATGCAGAATGGTTATCGATATGTTTTATAAATTTATCAAATGATAGTTTAAAGGCTTGTGAAAAAATCGACTTGAAAAAGATTAAATTTAAATTCTTTTCTTGAATCTTGTTTAACATATCTGTATTAAATGGATGATTGTCAATGCCTGCTTGTAGAAGTGCGCGAGTATAATTAATTCGTTAAAAAACATAAGATGCCACAGGTTTATTGTGTATCTTAAAAAATTCTAAATCTTGAATAAGTCTAATAAATAAAAATAGCTTATTTAGTAATTATGTATATATTATATATTCAAATAAAATATATTTGATATTTAATACATATACATATTTAATTTATTTTCTTACTGTTGAGCATTCAAAGCAATAAATTCAATAATTATTTCAATTATTGAAATATTTTCATTATTCGATAAAATTTTAGCTAATTTTTTAACTGATTTTGGAGGATCATCAAGCATATTTTCTATAATAAAAAATTGAATTAAATATGAAAAATATAGTTTTATCCAAATCACAAACTTAAACCAGCTATTCTAACAAGTTTTTACAAATAAAGAAGGTATTGTAAATTAAGTTCAACAGATTCTAAAGATAATGAATCAAAAGAATTTGATGAAACAACATTTGAAGAAAGAAATTTTAACCATCTTCTTTTACGACTAGATAAATAAGAAAATGTATCTTTGATATTTGAAGTTATACATGCTAGAAGCTTAAAATTATCAAAATATATTCAACAATCTCCAATTAAACTTAAAATATGGGCAAAACAACAATTATGCTTAAGTTGAGGCATTAAATGAACTAACATATCTGAATAGGCTTTTTTCATATATGCAGTATTATTATTAATAAATAGAATAACTTTAGAAAAAGAAATATTATAAAAATCTAAAACTGATAAAACTAATTGTGAAATTGTAAAATAATTAATACTCTCTAAATATTCAGTTTTTATCAACTTAGTTTGATCTTGAAAACTAAATAAAATATTTACAATATTATGACCACAAGTATCAGTAGTCTTGTTGATTGTAATTAAGATAGGTTGATCAATTAGATTATTTTTTAATTTATCTACTTCATTTTGAAAAATTTGCAGAAGATAATGTTCATATAATTGATTTACACAGACTATTTTATTGCCTATAATTAAAAATTATATGCTATTATACATATTAATTAAATTTTAATATAATAATAAATATTATTATTATATAATAATTAACTTATCTTCGGTGCAATATTCTTTAAAGAACTTCTGCAATTTATTAATTTTTTTCAAGTAGAATATCAGCTTTCACAAATATTTAGTTAATGCCAAATTGATATCTTGTTTCTTTACAATAGTTTGTTCATTTAAAAATAATTATATATTTTTTTTTTTTATATGATGCGGAATTAAGATAGTTATCAATTATGGATTTTTTAGTATGATTTATAACATTTTTACAAGTGACACAAAACATTTGATCATTTGATACATAGAAGTCTTCTATATAATTATTGGAATTAATACGTTCTAAAGCTATTATCTTTGCTTTTTCTATCATTAAAATTGGATAATAAAAATTATAACATTAACATAAAAACGATTTAATTAAATATCTGATATTAATACGATATAACAATTATCATTTAGTAATTATAGGTAATTGTAATATAATTATGATGCATAAATAGTAATTGTGATAATTATTAATAATAACAATTATTTTTTTTTTTTTTTTTGGTATTAAGGTGACCTCTTTGGTCTTTTGACTTTTATTAATCACTTGTCGGCATTGTGG